AGCGAGACTTGGAGATCTCTCTCTAAGCACCAACTCCTCTTCCTAAAGGGAATTAGGATTTTTGTAGGAGCACTGGTTTTTTTCAGCAGGACAGTGTCAGAGTGGAATGAGTCATGCTTGGTTGAGTTACTAAATAGAGTTTTGTGACTCGATTATACCACTTCATGGGTCACATGTCCAGACAGTGGAGACCAAGCTCCTCCTTGGGCAAGGATTTTATTATGTAAATGGCTGTTAATGGATCTAAGGTAAAGTTAGGTCACTGAAGCTCCTCTCTGCATGGATTCCTTTTTAAACTAGTTGGAGGTAGAATGAGTTTGACTCTTAATCCAAACAAGTGCAAGAATAGCTCTAAGAGTCTTTCTTGGTAATACAAGTTTGTTTGTAAGCCCTCTTGGTAACACTAGGGGAGTGGAGGTTACCTCATCCTTATTCTGAGAGTAATGAGGAGATTCTCAAGTACAGAGGACATGTTCACTGACAAACCTGCAAGTGGACACGACCCACCAAATTACAGTCTTCTAAAAGGAGGGAGCAGTGATCTTTTCTTTGAATGGGGAAAGGCAGAAGACTCAGTCAAGGGAATGACTTCATACCAGCCTCTGGGGCCTTTTCTGCTCAAAATTAATCTGCTTTCTTGAAATAATGCCAACAGAACTCCCAAGGCTCACAGGACCTTGACAGACCTTTAGTTCCCATACCAAGATGATAAGAGGCCTACTTTGAGCTCTTTGAGAAAAATTTATTTGGTGCTTTAGGGGAGATTGAGCCCAGAGTACTCATTTGCATTCATTCACACTCTTAGAGATTGCTTTATCCACTGTCATCAACTTATCACTTGGGGATACACTTCCTAAGTCTACCTCCAAGCTTCATTTGCAACTGACTGACTTGAATTTCCAGGGCTGTCGGGGAAACTCAGATTTAGGGTATCCTTTGTGAATCTCTTACCAACTTTCACCTTTGGGCCAAATCTGACCTGCTGCCTATTTTTGTAAGTGAAGCTTCATTGGACGATAGTAGCACTCCCTTTGCCATGGCTTTGCTTTCATTGGTTTTAGTGACCCATGGTCAACTGTGATCTGAAAATAGTAGTACAATAAGGTTATTTTGAGAGAGCAGTATATAGACAAACACACCAAGAGGACATACTCATATGTGCATGTTCATTGTAGAAGTATATTTTGACAGTTGTTCTATTTTATTATCAGTATTATTAATCTCTTATTGTGCTGCATTTATAAGTTAAACTTTATGATAGGTATGTTTGAAAAGGAAAAAGTATAGTGTATATAGGGGTCATTACTATCAGTGTTTTTAGGCATCACTCTTTGGGGGTCCTGAACTGTGTACCCCATGGATGGGAGGGACTACTGTGTGTACACACACACACACACACACACACACACATATTTAAGTATTGCCTGTGACTTCTTTTGCACTAAGGTAGTAGTGTTAAGTAATTTCAGCAGAGAATTATGACCAGCACAGTCTGAAGAATTTACTCTCTAGCCTTTATAGAAAATACTTTCTGATCCTTCAAAACTTTGTAGAATCCCTCACAACCTGATCCCTCAAAACCTTTGATTCCACCTTGGGGTTTTCCCCAGCTATATTCGAGCAAGAGAACAAACATCTTTTCTTTAATTTTTATTCTTTCTTAGGATTCCCCACATCCGTTCAGGCCCTCAGTTCCTTTTGCTCATGAAGTTAAATTAATTTCCCCACCTGTCTTCCTTTCCCCTTGGTGTTTGTTTTACACACCACTGATAAGTCATTTTCTCACTCTACTGCCAACATTGAGAGATTTCCCCATTGCTCACTAAATTAAATAGAGGTTCTCCAGCCTCCCTCTTCAGCCTCCTTCTCCAATATAAGCACTATCTGTCTCTCATAGACAGGAATTTTTTCTATAATGAGATACTTCCCTCTACTTTCTACTTCTCTTGTCCATGCTGTAATAGTTGCCTGGAGGTTTTTTTTGGTCTTCATTTCCACCCGCTCCTGCTACTGTCTGAAAATCCTCCCAGATTTCTTTGTAAAACTTTGTGCTGTCTTTTTCTATCTGCACATTACTTTTCTGTCCAAGATATATTGTCCCTAAGGGTATTTCACTCGGTTGCTGTGTTGTTGATGCTTCTTTACATCTCATTCATTATAAGCCATAAGTGTGGGGCATGCAAGGCTCATATCCCATGTTACTGTGTTCCCTTAAGCACTCACCATCATGTCTTCGATGTGCTTAATAATTAAGTAATTCAATCACATTCATAGGAACTGGGCTTTTAAATTTGGATTTAATTACTGGTATTTTAGTCCAGGAGGTCAATAATTAAAACCAAGCATTTTATTTGGATTTAATTATTGACCTCATAGATCCTCTTGGATATTTGGCAGTGAGTTTTAAGTGTTAGGGCTAAAATTCTTGAGGAAACCAGATGTTCCTTCTTTCATAGGTTGTTAATGTAATGGAAAGATTCTTTTGTTGTCATTTGATAAAGTATTTCACATTTACACAAATAAGAATACTATTTGTGTGCAGTGATGTGCTTGGTACTGTTAAAAAGTAAAATCAGGTGGCATATCCAGGCAAGAATTGTCTTGGCTATGTGACTCAGCCTACCTCAGTCAGATTTTATTTTTTCTTATGTTAAGTTATTTTTTAAAGATTCTAAGTAGAAAAAATTATGCCAAAGTACATTAAGAAGTTATTGAAATGAAGCACAGGGTGATATTAAAATAGTATTTTATACTCTATTCATTCTGTTAATCTTTCTCTGAACACTTTCCAGGAGGTTTTAACATGGCTATTGATCACCAATATCTAATCCTGTCAATACAAATTATTTCTGGTTTATGGTTCTGAATTTGTACTCTTGGAAAGTTGACAAAACTTAGAAGTATGCCAGGCATAGAGACATTCCACTTCATTGTGGAATAGTTCTAATGATACATGTCCTGAAATTGGACTGGTGAGGACCTTAGTTTCTTCAATTGGTTTCAGAAACTTAGAGATTGCTAGGGGAATGAGAACAGTTTGGTGCATAAAACACAGTGCTCCAGTATCCAGCAATGAAAGCCAACAAAGCATAGAAACACCCCAAACCTCACATACTTGTGAAAGAATTAGACTTGAAAATTTAATTTTAAAGTGGGTAAAGGAAATGAATAGTTTCTAGGAAAAAATACCAGCTCTGCTTGGTTCATCATCATTTTCTCGAACACAATGTTTGCTGTACACATGCATACTTGATGAATAATAAGTACATAAAAGGTACTCCAATTCTCTCATAAGTGAAGAAATTCTTCACGAAATAACCTGACATGTATACCTTTGAACCAACATTTCTATTTCTTAGTTTTTTATGCTAGGAAAATAGACTATTTAGCATAGATACCACATCATCCTGAAATACTTTCTCAAATACTGAAGATGTATATATCTGTCTAACTGTCTACCTACCTATTCTTTCATCTGCTTATTTGGATGGCTGTTGTAAAGTAATCTGTATTAGTGAAAAATTGGAAATAACCCAAATGTCTGTCATTTAAAGCATCCATATCCTTTAAAAAGGATGAGGTAATCAGACAAGATGAATTGGATGGAGGTTGTGAAACAAAATATACTTGCATCTTTATGCGTAAATAATGGACACTGGTCTATTCACATGTTGTATTTGCACATGTGAGGAATGGTGTGGAAGGAGGAATAAACAACCTACAATGTGGACCATCTTTGGGGAGCAAGAATATGGAGATAGATGCATGCCCAGCAATAAGAGATATTATACCTACTGTTTTTTTACTGGTATGTTCCATTATTTTAAAGTATATTTTACTTTATACTTGACAAAAGACTAGGAAATCATACAGCAAATTTTGGGTACATCTTTATTAAAATTTAAAAACAACTTACTTGAAGGACTGTCTATCTGAAAAATGGTTTTCAGGAATGATTTTTTATTTTAGCAGCATGCAAATATATATATATATATATATATATATATATATAGTAAAAATCAATATACTATATATATAATTTTCATATATATGTATATATGCACAAATGTACATGTTTCTTTTAAGGTTTCAAATTTCTCATGCTTACTTTTAATCTACACGACTTACGTAAAATCTGTCTATAATCTAAAACTTACTCAAATTAATGTCCACACTACTAGTGAGAACAGAAATTGAAAGACAGCTCTTCCATGTGCCCTTGCTGTCTTACTACATGATACCCCTATGGAAAAAAAAAAGTCCCAAGATCTGCAAAAGCAGCCACATCTCAAAGTGAAAGACTGTGAAGATGTCTTGAAGGCCAAGCTTCCTTCTTATAAAACCATTTACTTGAGAGTACTTGTACTTTAGTCATACTTGAAATATTCCAATTTTTAAAAGTTTTATTTTATTGTAGCAACAACATGAGACCCACTCTCTTAACAAGCATTTAAATATACAATCCTTATTGTTGACTATAGGTACACTCTTGTGCAACTGACCTCTAAACAATATTCATCCAGCTAAACTGAAACTTTATGCCTGTTGATTTCCTCTTCCCTCTGGGTCCTGGAAACCATCAGACCTTTCTTTTTGAGTTTATGGATATGGCTATTTTAGATAACTCACATAAGTGGAATCAGCATATTTGTCTTTCTGTGACTGATTTATTTCACTTAGGATGTCCTCAAGTTTCATCTCTGTTGTTGGAATGGTTTTTGTTCTTGAGAATTCTATGCCTGTGAATTTTGTTTTGTAATGAGACGTTCATGAATGAAAGACATTAGATCTGACCACTTTGTGTTCTTTGTTCATGTTCTAGATAATAGACACATAGTTCCAAAGTCTAACTATGTTTTATTAAGCAGTCGTAATAAGATCCTGTTTCATGGTAGATGGGCTTGTTAATTGGAGAATTTATATGTACTAACATCATTTTCCAAGTTGCTCACAGTTTCTTGTGAGTCAAAGAATTCACTGTGCTCTCTTCATTGTTTCAGAAAAGCTCAAGAGGAGAACAAGAAAGTAGTGCTGGCTGGATGTGTTCCTCAAGCCCAGCCTCGGCAGGACTACCTAAAAGGACTGAGTATCATTGGGGTAAGCTTGTACCTAATGCGGAAAAGAAAATCTGTCACCAAGACATGTAGTTGCTCCACATTTTGTTTTCTAGTGCTAGGTTTTTGACAAGTGAATGACACTTGTGACTACCCTCCACATACTTCCCCATTCCTGCTGAAGCTTTGTCATGTCTGTGTAGCTTTCTCATCTTAGCACAAAGCCATGATTTAGATTCTGTTATTAAAAAAGCAAACAAACAAAATGTGCACCGTAGCATGGACTTCATTTTTTTTAATTTTTTTTTTTAAAGACTTATTATTTAAGCATACAAGAGCTGGGGTACTGGCCAGAGGTGTGGGGGCAGGGGAAGTGAGATGATTCACCAGAGACAAAGTGGGGAACAGAACAGGCAGACTGATTGAAATACACTGCTGAGGGGAGCAGCGGGCGAGTCAGGAGAGGTCTGCTGCACCATGTAGGTTGCTCCCTGGCTGGCCTGGGATCGAACTCTCCTGCTGCAGAGGCTGGGGACAGCTTCATAGGTTGCATCTTAACCCCCTCTGCCACCAGGGAGGTCTCCCTTAGCATGGACTTTAAATCTCTTAATAACAGCCTCTGTTTTAGTCTTGGTCTTTGTCTTTCTCTCCAGTTATCTCTTGACACATCATTATGATTTCCCCTCCCCCTGAACTGCCTGTCACACTCCAGTACCTAGATGCCTGTTTTGGAATGCTCCTCCTCCCTGATACTCTGCTTCCCATGACTTGGCTCTGCTACTTGTTTTGTAAAGCTGTTTCTGAGCCCTCTGGGCAGTCGTTGGTAATCCTGTGTCTGGATTTCCTTTGCTTACTCTGCAGTTACCTGACATTAGCTCTCTCAACATTTCAATTGATTTTTTTGAATAAAACTCACTTTTCTATTTAAATTATTGATCCTGTGATGACAGCTTTTCAGTCTTTTTTTTTTTTTTAACACTCTCACCAGATTTCTCCAGCTTTTCCCATATGCTTGATAGATAGTAGGCACTCAATAAGTGTTTGGTGACTGACTGAATGAAAAAATCTTAGCATTGTATTTTTGTTGTTGGCATGTTTTCTTGCTGGAGAGTCAGCAATGTGAAGCTAGAAGACTATTTACTGTCTCTTATTCTTTGTGGTCATCACTGTCTACTAAACATGCAAAGGTAGTTGGCCTTCAGTTAGTTTTTTTTTGTTTTTTTTTAAAGATTTATTTATTTATTTATACAAGCACTTGGTACAGTCAGAAGCGCGGGAGGGTGAGAGAATTCACCAGAGCAGGGAGCAGAACAGGCAGACTGACAAAATAAACTGTTGAGGGGAGCAGCGGGCGGCAGGAGAGGTCTGCGCACCATGTGGGACCCTCGCCAGCAGCCAGGGATCGAACCTGCGCTGTAGAGGCTGCGGGCAGCTTTGCAACCCAGCGCTCAACGTCTGCGCTACCAGGGAGGCTCCACTTAGTATTTCTTGACCAAATGCTCGTGCTTCATCCTTTCCAGCATCCCACTCCAGCTGTACTCAGGATGCTCTATAATTTTCTTCTTTTGAAAACACTTCATTAGTTAAAACAAATACATACAAATATTAGATGCACATAGAGGAAATCTGTATGAATAATTGGCACCTGGATTGAGATTTATTGGCTCTTTCTTTATTTGATGTACTATTGACAGTTTCTGATGCTGTGTTCTCAGTGTAATGAACTTGTTTTCTGCTGTGAAGCCTTTGCCCCACTAGCAAATTTAATAATCTTTGAACAAACGTTCTTGTGTTAAACAAACAGAACCTGAGTGTTTGGGAACTTCCATTTGTTTTGCCCGTTTGTCTGTTTACATTTTGATTTCTCCTGGTTTAAAGAATGAAATGAATATGGACTTCCGAGTTATCTTTTCATGCCAGACTAACTTTCTCCATAAACATAATCCTGCTGTGTTAGGGAAATAGGAAACTAGTTAAAATTCTGTTTTGGAGGTGGAATGTGGTAAAAGCTTGGGACTCACCTTTGACTTCATTCCAAGAAATTAAAGTTATCAGCATAGAATTTCTTTCATATGGCGAAAACCTCTTGCGTACATTGTGGTAACATTTTGTGGAACTCCATTATGGGCCTTGAAGAGCTTGGTATATGTTAGGATGGTGGGGGAGTCCTCAAGGTAGTGCAAGGGAGAATTCCCAGTGCTGGTGTTGTGGAGGACAGTTTTCAGGGGTGATGTAAGTCTGTGGCTGTGGGAAATAAACATCACCCCCCTTACTTAATTGATTACCATTTTTCTTTTGTCACCTAATTACATTAGATTGCCATTAATATCATTTAGATTTATTTGATTTTGCACCTTTGCAGTTGAAGAAAAAAGAACATATTTTTTAAAATGTTACTAGAAAGAGAATGTATAGTTCCATCAGCCCAGTACAGTTATTAGTAACTTTACTTACCCTCTTCAGACTTCTAATCACTGTATATTTTAATTCATTGTAATTACAACTATTTTGTGTTTTTTTTCCCCCCGAGCTTTTATCCCATTAGCTTTTATTACTATTTTTAGTATAAGAAATTATTATTCATGGTCATTGACAGCTATCTCAGTAAATGTACAAATTACTGAGCTTCATCCATCAGTTTCTTTTTTCAGCTATCAATGCTTAAGATGTGGCATAGGTTGTGGGAACAGCAATTGTTGGGTACTGATGGTAGTTATGGTTTTGATAGAGGAAGTAAAAAAATACGCAGAGTGTCCCTGCTCCATGAGCTTTTAAGCCATTTAATCCTGCATTAAGACTGCATTGAAGGCTATGCCATACTTCCCTTAGTCTTGATTGTTGGATATACATGTCTTTTTGATATTTAGGATGTGTTCACAATACGTTAATGCACACAAAAGGATTTTTATTCTAATTTAAAATCAGTATATTGTGAGAAGTTTCCAAAAGTAGAAACGTACCGTTAGTAGCATTGTTTTAGCATCTAATATTATTATGAAACTAAGCATCATTTCAGAGAGCATTTTTGTGGCAGGTATAAACATATATTGTAACTGACTGTGTAAAAATTATGTCTACAAAAAATTTAGAACAAACTTGGAGTCAGAAACCAAAACCATCTCTAATGGGTGTTTGGAGACCTATTTCTGGATAAAATTGTTAGACTTCCTGCAAAACCAGAAGCCACCTGAAATACAGTGGGTTTTAATGAAATTAATCAGTTATTTTGGTTTATACAAAGAAAAAACAATTCTGAAGTGTGAAAAAGAGGAAGATGCTTAAATTCCGTGTCTTGGGAAATTTTTCAGGAAAATGTTTGGCGTTGTATTGCACAGTTGATTCACAGAGTCAAACTGTTGTTCCTTCACAGAATTTCCGTGATGGAGGGTGTTTTTAGCAGAGGAAGGGAGAACAGCTGTAGCTGCATTCTGTGTTTCCCATGTCCACGGCACTCCATACCACAGGGAGGATGTGTCAATTCTGCTGGCCCAGTGATTGAAATGCAACGCTGCCTTTATGTGGGGGATCAGTGGGTGGGCAAAGTACTTATTGCACACCTGAGTTAAAAAGCCATAGTGCTCCCATGTTCGCACATGGAACAAGCATTTAAGAAGATAGTTAAGAGAATGTTACTACCATTGTAATGTGTTAATTTTCATCAGTATCAGCCTCTCAAAGAGGGGTGTTTAATTTGTTTTCATAATCAGAAATATAATGCAGTGAGAGCACATAGTAATGGGCCATTTGAACCCTGGCCTTTTATTATTCTCGTCCTACTGTCACCTGGGCTATCTAGTTGTGATGAATATTATTTGTGTGGTGGTTCCTGGAAGGAAAATAATAGAATATCAAAACCAGGGGTAAAACCTATCAGCCTCTGGGGTCTGGGAAAACTGATTTTGGTGGCAGTAACCTCTTTATTTTTCCCATCCAGGACCATAAAGCTGTGTCATTTCTTTACATAGGGAAAAGATAGATCATATTTGAAGATGTGGGTATTTTATATGAAAATTTTTTTTAACAAAACATTTTTCCTAGCATGGTTAATTCTTTATGTCTAGAATATGTGTATTTTTAAGTAATCAGTAAAACGTACAAAGTGAAGAAGATCTTGTGAAAATTTTGCTGGTCTTGAAACATTTTACTTTATAATGATTATTTTCTCTTCTATTTTGGGACATGATCATGGTTAACCGTCCATGCAATTTTTTTTCATGCAATTTTTTTTTTAATCATTGCTGTTATTTATTTACATTGTTTACTCTCTGTCTAGCTGTAGCTACTTCCAAGATCTTGTGACTACTGACTGCACATTGCTTTCCTTCCCTTCAGCTCATTTATTGGCAGGAATTATTGTTTGAGGTTTAGTCCAACAAAAAGAACCAGGATGTTCTTTGTTAAAGTCCTGTAGACAAAAAAGGAGTAGCAGATAGATATTAGGACTGAGAAGGCCTGACTTCAAATCCCTTATCTACCACATCATCCTTTGTCCAGTCAAGAGTTACTTACTGAGTGCTTCTATGTCCTATATAGCCTCAGGTGCTAGGAATACAGTAAATAAAATCACACGATCCCTATTCTCATACAGCTTGTTTGAATTCTTGGAGAGAGACATGTAGTTTGAGCCTAGAACTTCTCCCTCTTCCTGGAGAAAGTGATGATGGGGCCCTAGACCCTAGGGAGAGTGACTAGTAGAGAATTTCTCTGAGACTCAGAAATACACTGTGTCCATCAGTCAGGAATAGAAGTGTGGAAAAGCACTTGCTTGAGTTCTCAGTAATAGTCGTCAGCAATAGGAATGTTGCTTCTGTTGCAGCAAAGCATGTTTACAAAATGTTAAACATTTCGTGTAGGATAAGTAAAGTCTCAAACTTGGTGTTGACTCATTAGGCTTATCTTCATAATTATATCTTTAGAAATCCTAAATAAACCGTGAGTTGGTATACAGGTTGCAGCATTTTAAAATATGTAGTTCACAACTGATTATTTAACTTGATGCTGAAAATTTGTCAGTGATAAAACTTTCTGAGGAGCCAGCTGTGC